GTTTAGGACAGGTACAGACGAGACTGGGTGAGGGAGGGGGAAGAACGGTTGATTTAATTATTGTGTGTGGCGGTTTAGGACAGGTACCGACGAGACTGGGTGAGGGAGGGGGAAGAACGGTTGATTTAATTATTGTGTGTGGCGGTTTAGGACAGGTACCGACGAGACTGGGTGAGGGAGGGGGAAGAATGGTTGATTTAATTATTGTGTGTGGCGGTTTAGGACAGGTACCGACGAGACTGGGTGAGGGAGGGGGAAGAACGGTTGATTTAATTATTGTGTGTGGCGGTTTAGGACAGGTACAGACGAGACTGGGTGAGGGAGAATGCAGAACGGTTGATTTAATGTTTGTGTATGGCGGTTTAGGACAGGTACAGACGAGACTGGGTTAGGGAGGGGGCAGAACGGTTGATTTAATGTTTGTGTACGGCGGTTTAGGACTGGAACAGACGAGACTGGGTGAGGGAGAGGGCAAAACGGTTGATTTAATACTCTTGTATGACGGTTGAGGACAGGTACAGACGAGACTGGGTGAGGGAGGGGACAGAACGGTTGATTTAATGGTTGTGTATGGCGGTTTAGGACAGGTACAGACGAGACTGGGTGAGGGAGGGGGAAGAACGGTTGATTTAATTATTGTGTATGGCGGTTTAGGACAGGTACAGACGAGACTGGGTGAGGGAGGGGACAGAACGGTTGATTTAATGTTTGTGTATGGCGGTTTAGGACAGGTACAGACGAGACTGTGTGAGGGAGGGGGAAGAACGGTTGATTTAATTATGGTGTGTGGCGGTTTAGGACAGGTACATCAAAGACTGGGTGAGGGAGGGAGCAGGAAAAACTATTGATTAAATGTTTGTGTATGGCGGTATAGGACAGGTACAGACGAGATTGGATGAGGGAGAGGATAAAACGGTTGATTTAATGATTGTGTATGGCGGTTTAGGACAGGTACAGACGAGAGTACCGACGAGAGAGGGAGTGGGTGAGGAGAGGGCAGAACGGGGTTTAGGACAGGTACAGAACGGTTGATTTAATGGCTGTGTATGGCGGTTTAGGACAGGTGCATCAAAGACTGGGTGAGGGAGGGGCAGAACGGTTGATTTAATAATTGTGTATGGCGGTTTAGGAGATTGTGTGTGGCGGAGGGAGGGGACGAGAGAGGGAACGGTTGATTTAATGGTTGTGTATGGCGGTTTAGGATAGATACAGCCAAGACTGTGTTAGGAAGGGGGCAGAACGGTTGATTTAATGTTTGTGTATGGCGGTTTAGGACAGGTACAGACGAGACTGGGTTAGGGAGGGGGCAGAACGGTTGATTTAATGGTTGTGTATGACGGTTAAGGACAGGTACAGACGAGACTGTGTGAGGGAGAAGACAGAACGGTCGATTTAATAATTGTGTATGGTGGTTTAGGACTGGTACAGCCAAGAATGGTTGAGGGAGGGGGCAGAACGGTTGATTTAATGCTTGTGTATGGTGGTGTTGGACAGGTACAGACGAGACTGTGTGAGGGAAGGGGACAGAACGGTTGATTTAATAATCGTGTATGGCGGTTATAACAGGTATAGACGAGACCGGGTTAGGGAGGGGGCAGAACGGTTGATTTAATAATCGTGTTTGACGGTTGAGGACAGGTACAGACGAGACTGGGTGAGGGAGATGGCAGAACGGTTGCTTTAATGATTGTGTATGGCGGTTTAGGTTAGGTATAGACGAGACTGGATTAGGGAGGGGGCAGAACGGTTGATTTAATTATTGTGTATGGCGGTTTAGGACAGGTACAGACGAGACTGGGTGAGAGAGGGGGCAAAACGGTTGATTTTATACTCTTGTATGACGGTTGAGGACAGGTACAGACGAGGCTGTGTGAGGGAAGGGGACAGAACGGTTGATTTAATGGTTGTGTATGGCGGTTTAGGACAGGTACAGACGAGACTGGATGAGGAAGGGGGAAGAACGGTTGATTTAATGATTGTGTATGGCGGTTTAGGACAGGCAAAGACGGGACTGGGTGAGGGAGGGGGCAGAACGGTTGATTTAATGTTTGTGTATGGCGGTTTAGGACAGGTACAGACGAGACTGGGTTAGGGAGGGGGCAGAACGGTTGGTTTAATGTTTGTGTGTGGCGGTTTAGGACAGGTACAGACGAGACTGGGTGAGGGAGATGGCAGAACGGTTGATTTAATGGTTGTGTATGGCGGTTTAGGACAGGTACAGCCAAGACTGGGTGAGGGAGAGGGCAGAACGGTTGATTGTGTATACCTTCCTACTTCCTTTAGTGATCAGTTTAATGTTTGTTTATGGCGGTTTAGGACAGGTACAGACGAGACTGGGTGAGGGAGAGGGCAGAACGGTTGATTTTATGATTGTGTATGGCGGTTTAGGACAGGAACAGCCGAGATTTAACGGTTGATTTAATGTATTGTGTATGGCGGTTTAGGACAGATACAGACGAGACTGGGTGAGGGACATGGCAGAACGGTTGATTTAATGATTGTGTATGGCGGTTTAGGACAGGTACAGACGAGACTGGGTGAGGGAGAAGGCAGAACGGTTGATTTAATTATTGTGTATGGCGGTTTAGGACAGGTACAGACGAGACTGGGTGAGGGAGAGGGCAGAACGGTTGATTTAATGTTTGTGTATGGCGGTTTAGGACAGGTACAGACGAGACTGGGTGAGGGAGGGGGCAGAACGGTTGATTTAATTGTTGTGTATGGTGGTTTAGGACAGGTACAGACGAGATTGGGTGAGGGAGGGGGAAGAACGGTTGATTTTATTATGGTGTGTGGCGGTTTAGGACAGGTACAGACGAGACTGGGTGAGGGAGGGGGCAGAACGGTTGATTTAATGCTTGTGTATGGCAGTTTAGGACAGGTACAGCCAAGACTGGGTGAGGGAGAGGGCAGAATGTTTGATTTAATTATTGTGTATGGCGGTTTAGGACAGGTACAGACGAGACTGGGTGAGGGAGGGGGCAGAACGGTTGATTTAATCGTTTTATATCGCGGTTTAGGACAGGTACAGACGAGACTGGGTGAGGGAGGGGGCAGAACGGTTGATTTAATGTTTGTGTATGGCGGTTAGGACAGGGAAAGACGAGAGTGGGTGAGGGAGGGGGAAGAACGGTTGATTTAATAATCGTGTATGATGGTTTAGGATAGGTACAGCAAAGACTGGTTGAGGGAAGGGGAAGAACGGTTGATTTAATGGTTGTGTGTGGCGGTTTAGGACAGGCACAGACGAGACTGGGTGAGGGAGAATGCTGAACGGTTGATTTAATGATTGTGTATGGCGGTTTAGGACAGGTACAGACGAGACTGGGTGAGGGAGGGGCAGAACGGTTGATTTAATGTTTGTGTATGGCGGTTTAGGACAGGTTCAGACAAGACTGTGTTAGGAAGGGGGCAGAACGGTTGATTAAATGTTTGTGTATGGCGGTTTAGGACAGGTACAGACGAGACTTGGTGAGAGAGGGGGCAGAACGGTTGATTTAATGTTTGCGTTTGGCGGTTCAGGACAGGTACAGACGAGACTGGGTTAGGGAGGGGGCAGAACGGTTGGTTTAATGTTTGTGTGTGGCGGTTTAGGACAGGTACAGACGAGAACGGGTGAGGGAGAGGGCAGAACGGTTGATTTAATGTTTGTGTATGGCGGTTTAGGACAGGTTCAGACGAGACTGGGTAAGGGAGAGGGCAGAACGGTTGATTTAATAATTGTGTATGGTGGTTTAGGACTGGTACAGCCAAGAATGGTTGAGGGAGGGGGCAGAACGGTTGATTTAATAATCGTGTTTGACGGTTTAGGACAGGTACAGACGAGACTGGGTGAGGGAGGGGGCAGAACGGTTGATTTAATAATCGTGTATGGCGGTTATAACAGGTATAGACGAGACTGGATTAGGGAGGGGGCAGAACGGTTGATTTCATGCTTGTTTATGGCAGTTTATGACAGGTATAGACGAGACTGTGTTAGGAAGGGGGCAGAACGGTTGATTTAATGTTTGTGTATGGCGGTTTAGGACAGGTACAGACGAGACTGGGTGAGGGAGAGGGCAGAACGGTTGATTTAATGTTTGTGTATGGCGGTTTAGGACAGGTATAGACGAGACTGGATTAGGGAGGGGGCAGAACGGTTGATTTAATGCTTGTTTATGGCGGTTTAGGACAGGTACAGACGAGACTGGGTGAGGGAGGGGGAAGAACGGTTGATTTAATAATTGTGTGTGGCGGTTTAGGAAAGGTACCGACGAGACTGGGTGAGGGAGAGGGCAGAACGGTTGATTTAATGCTTGTGTATGGTGGTGTTGGACAGGTACAGACGAGACTGGGTGAGGGAGAGGGCAGAACGGTTGATTTAATGATTGTGTATGGTGGTTTAGGACAGGCAAAGACGAGACTGGGTGAGGGAGGGGGCAGAACGGTTGATTTAATGTTTGTGTATGGCGGTTTAGGACAGGCAAAGACGAGACTGGGTTAGGGAGGGGGCAGAACGGTTGATTTTGTATATCTTCCTACTTCCTTTAGTGATCACTTTAATGTTTGTGTTTGGTGGTTTAGGACAGGTACAGACTCGACTGGGTTAGGGAGAGGGCAGAACGGTTGATTTAATGTTTGTGTATGGCGGAATAGATGAATAATCGGATGGATCGATTCTTCCTACACCTTTAATAAAATAATATCGCACTCAGTTGTGATATCCCTCTGAATTCATGAGACCCGGATGTTTGTTGTTGATAAGATAGAAGCATGACATACTTTGACAATTAGAAACAAAACAATAACTGACTTTGTTCACAATAATATCGATGTTATTCACAAAGGACATAATTTCACTTTTTAAGTTTGAAAACGTTTATTTACACATATTAGTACCTGACGTCAACTCGCTGTGGGATCACGGGTCTGTTGGGTGGGCTATAAATACAGAGATTACGAGTTCATGTTATATAGTTAACGTAAGGAAGCCTTATCGATATAATATGTTAGGACGCTAGCAGAAAACAGCTGATAACGTTGTTGTTTTGAGAGGATCTCCAGAGCAAAACACGTCTAAATGGCTGAAAAGTCAGGTAAGTTCTAAAAAGATTTGTCATGTAGACAATCTATGTTAACTTCCTGTTCATTGTGTGTTTTAATGGTGACGTGTTTTCGTACTCTGACATACTTATAGTTCTATCGATTGATGACTGGATACCTCACGGATTATACACTGATCCCACTAGGTAACACACATGTAGCAGAAGATAGGATTATTAGGTTATATAAAACTAGTTTTCAATAATCTACTGGTGTAATAATGGCTTGAATATCAAAATTACATTTGAGGAAACAGTGTCTCTGGTAAAACAAGTATTATGTGGGTACTCATGTGTAATTAGTACATATTGGAAAACGGCCATACGGTCCTGAAATCAGCCTTATTGTGTCTGTCATAGTAGAGATCGCAAGAATCACAGGAACTTCTCCACCTACCCGACTGGTATGCAAGTATAAAGACCGACAACTCTGGTAGACATCACGCGTCATTGTGATGTGGGCCAGGTGACATATAATGATATACACACCGACCTTTGACCGGTGTTATTTATAGATTTATGGAAGAGTTTTCCGGGTCGAAAACAAAGTAATGGATGGGAAGTCAGGTAGGTTTTTAAAGATAAATCCCTTTTGAGGAATTCCTTTCTAGTTAAAGTATCAATGACATTTTAAAGTATATAGTACAGAAAATGTATATGTATTAAAATTCTGCCTGAGTATATCGATTTATTGACGTCTGGCAAACCGTTAGGTGTACTGCGTATTTCACTCAGAACAGTTCTATGTTAATAAAAGCAAAGTAGTTATTTTACGACTTCCGAGAATACACTGACAGCAATAATATTATCAATGAAAAACATATATGTTCAAATAGTGTTTATCTTTGGGCACAAAAATGTACGACAATATCAATTCTAAGTCAAAACAATTTACTTCCTAAATTACCTGAATTGTTTGGGAGGCAATATAAAGGGTTAGCGGAATTCAGTCTGTCAAAATTCAGAGGTAGTAAGCAGAGATAATCGGCTCGACAGAAGCAAGTTGGAGTTAAGGTGGAATAATTCAAAACTATCGGATTAAGGTGGGATAAGTTAAAACTGTCGGGATTAAGGTGGGATAAGTAAAAACTGTCGGGATTAAGGTGGGATAAGTTAAAACTGTCGGGATTAAGTCGGGGTAAGTAAAAACTGTCGGGATTAAGGTGGGATAAGTTAAAACTGTCGGGATTAAGGTGGGATAAGTTAAAACTGTCGGGATTAAGTTGGGGTAAGTAAAAACTGTCGGGATTAAGGTGGGATAAGTCAAAACTGTCGGGATTAAGGTGGGATAAGTTAAAACTGTCGGGATTAAGGTGGGATAAGTCAAAACTGTCGGGATTAAGGTGGGATAAGTAAAAAAACTGTCGGGATTAAGGTGGGGTAAGTAAAAACCTTTGGGATTAAGGTGGGTAAGTCAAAACTGTCGGGATTAAGGTGGTATAAGTCACAACTGTTGGGATTAAGGTAGGTAAGTCAAAAACTGTTGGGATTAAGGTGTGATAAGTCAAAACTGTCAAGATTAAGGCGGGGTAAGTAAAAAATGCCGGGACTTAGTTAAATAAGTCAAAACTCAATACTCGAGACTTTAAGACACTAACAAGCAACACAATCTACTATAAATCCTAAACAAGGTCTCAATTTCACCACCACTACCACCACCACCACAATGATATGAAGTTATTTTCCCTCAACTCTTGGCAGGTCCCCACCCCAACCCCCGCTCTCTGGGTTTGTTGTTTTTCTGGAACGTCCCACACTCATTCACACATACAGCCGATATTCTGTCGGTGTAGGGCAGCATTGTTTAGCCATACCCGCCATCCACACACACAAAGAATAAATTTACTTGGACTTGACTTTGGATGTCGTGGCCATGTGCGGCTTTTGACTTAAGAAAGTAAATACAGATACTGCTTCATTAAAGGTTTCGCTCAGCATTCGGCACCTCCGCCATATACGGAACAAGGGCATGCTCATGTAGGGCCCAAGCCACAATATGGACCTCAACCAACTGGCAGTTATGGTCAACCCATGAACAACACCACATGGGCACATCCTTCGTACCAAGCACAGTTCCAGCAACAACAGATGGTTACCAGCAATGTTATTGTATGTAACATTAACTATCGTGTGTGAAATATCTATAACGTGAAATTAATAAACAAAATGTGGCGATCAGTATTGTTAAACCTTTCATTAACATTTAAACATTTATATTTCAATACAATAATAAGAATCGAATTTAAATGACAATTTTTAAATAAAAGTGACAACTTGTCATGCATGAATGAATTGAGTGGAATATGACCCGGTGGGAAAGTTTGATTGATTTTGAAATGTTAAATACCTGTAGATAATGAAGTTATCATGGAAACAATGGTTAGTGTGAGATGTATGAAACACAAAATAACTCTAGGTGTTTCCTAAAGTATGTAAAATGACCTATCGAATGAAAATCAAGATATGTGAAATAGGATTATATCTACTACAATGTACCTGTTAAGACAAAGAATGAAATGTGCAAATATGATAAAATCAATGTCTAAATGTTACATTATTATTCCAGGTTACACAGCAACCTGGACTTCAGCCTGTAATCATGGCACCCCCTCCAGAGGACAACATGGTCAGAGCTATAATCGCCACATTTTTCTGCTTCTGGCCTATTGGAATGTTTGCAATATGGAAAGCTATGGAGGTAAGTAAGGACACCTAATGTCTTGCTACGCGAAGATAACTTTCATCTACTTTACTCATCCTGTAAATAGCTGTCCGAAAATATTCTACTTTGTCCTAAACACCTTACATACATTAATTAAATATATTGATCAGATGTATGGCATACATAGCACGACATTTAAATTCACATTAGCATCTTGCCTTTGCTGAAAACACCAGCGAAAACAGCATTCAATTAATCCGTGAAATAGGTGCTTTCTTCAATCTCATTATCGTGAATTCAGTTTAAGTTTTTGGCAGAAGCCGCCCATCATTCATTTTTAATATTGTACTTTTCCAGAAATTTTGCATGAATATTTCCTATATTTATATTTTGCTCTTATATAGTCTTTCGATTGTTGTAATTATGTTTCCGGTGTCCATTACAATGTTTACCTCCCGGAGCTAAGGGTGGCGTTTTACTATCGTACTTTAATGTCTTACCGAGCATGGCGTTTGGGGTTATTCTGAAAATGCAGTAATGTATAGATTTGTTGTTATTTCAGTCCAAATCTGCCTACAACCGGGGAGACTTGGCCATGGCACATGCTAATGCTAATTCAGCCAGACAACTGGCCAATGTGGCAATCGGGATCGGCGCTGGGTGCATCTTCGCCGTCATCGTCTATATCATTGTCTTATACTCAATCATATTGTAAGCCCTCTGCGATACGACCGATCAATCCATGATGTTTTATCACTTGTGCTATGTACTTGTAACCAGGAAAAATGTTATTCGGCACAATCTTTATCCCTATGACTATGACATATTGCTATTTCTTGGGAAGATCAAACCATGGTGGACAAAATATCCTCTAGGATCTTACGTTACTACTATTCATCTTCGAGTAATTCAAGGATGTGGCTTGAAATTCAATGGTAAACTGATTGACAAGTATTCTCAAATTCATCAAGATCGCCATGACATCACTGAAGTGACTGTCCACTAAGAGGTTAGTCTCTACTATCATCAAGATCGCCATTACACCAGTGAAGTGACTGTCCACTACAAATGTACTCTCTACTATCATCAAGATCGCCATGACACCAGTGAAGTGACTGTCCACTACAAATGTACTCTCTACTATCATCAAGATCGCCATGACACCAGTGAAGTGACTGTCCACTACAAAGTTAGTCTCTACTATCATCAAGATCGCCATGACACCAGTGAAGTGACTGTCCACTACAAAGTTAGTCTCTACTATCATCAAGATCGCCATGACACCAGTGAAGTGACTGTCCACTACAAATGTACTCTCTACTATCATCAAGATCGACATGACACCAGTGAAGTGACTGTCCACTACAAAGTTAGTCTCTACTATCATCAAGATCGCCATGACACCAGTGAAGTGACTGTCCACTACAAATGTACTCTCTACTATCATCAAGATCGCCATGACACCAGTGAAGTGACTGTCCACTACAAAGTTAGTCTCTACTATCATCAAGATCGCCATGACACCAGTGAAGTGACTGACTACTACAAATGTACTCTCTACTATAAAAAAAAATCGCCATGACACCAGTGAAGTGACTGACCACTACAAATATACTCTCTAGTATCATAAACCGGACAAAAAACAAGTTTACATCAAACGTTTGGACATCGACAGATTCATTTGTCCTGAATAAACAAATTTTATCTCTCTAATGAATGATTTTGGAGTTATAAAGAAAATACATTTTATCGAGGTATCATTACGTTCCTTAATTTTCCTTTCCTTCCAGATAGGAATTGTCTCATTTCATTATCAGAATGAGATCAGCATCCACAGAGAATGTTAACACATCACAAAACATAGACATCCGCAGAGAATGTTAACACATCACAATACATAGACATCCACATAGAATGTTAACACATCACAAAACATAGACATCCAAAGAGAATATCAACAAGTCACAATACATAGACATCCACAGAGAATGTTAACACAGCACAAAACATAGACATCCACAGAGAATGTTAACACATCACAATACATAGACATCCGCAGAGAATGTTAACACATCACAATACATAGACATCCACATAGAATGTTAACACATCACAAAACATAGACATCCAAAGAGAATATCAACAAGTCACAATACATAGACATCCACAGAGAATGTTAACACATCACAATACATAGACATCCACAGAGAATGTTAACACATCACAATACATAGACATCCACAGAGAATGTCAACACATCACAATACATAGGTATCCACAGAGAATGTTAACACATCACAAAACATAGACATCCACATAGAATGTTAACACATCACAAAACATAGACATCCACAGAGAATGTCAACACATCTCAATACATAGGTATCCACAGAGAATGTTAACACATCACAAAACATAGACATCCACATAGAATGTTAACACATCACAAAACATAGACATCCACAGAGAATGTCAACACATCTCAATACATAGGTATCCACAGAGAATGTTAACACATCACAAAACATAGACATCCACAGAGAATGTCAACACATCACAATACATAGACATCCACAGAGAATGTTAACACATCACAAAACATAGACATCCACATAGAATGTAAACACATCACAATACATAGACATCCAGAGAGAATGTTAACACATCACAATACATAGGTATTCACAGAGAATGTTAACACATCACAAAACATAGACATCCAAATAGAATGGTAACACATCACAATACATAGACATCCACATAGAATGTTAACACATCACAAAACATAGACATCCACAGAGAATGTCAACACATCTCAATACATAGGTATCCACAGAGAATGTTAACACATCACAAAACATAGACATCCACATAGAATGTTAACACATCACAAAACAGACATCCGCAGAGAATGTTAACACATCACAAAACATAGGTATCCACAGAGAATGTTAACACATCACAAAACATAGACATCTACAGAGAATGTCAACACATCACAATACATAGACATCCACAGAGAATGTTAACACAGCACAAAACATAGACATCCACAGAGAATGTCAACACATCAGAATACATAGGTATCCACAGAGAATGTTAACACATCACAATACATAGGTATCCAGAGAATGTCAACACATCACAATACATAGACATCCACAGAGAATGTTAACACATCACAATACATAGACATCCACAGAGAATGTCAACACATCACAATACATAGGTATCCACAGAGAATGTTAACACATCACAAAACATAGACATCCACAGAGAATGTCAACACATCTCAATACATAGGTATCCACAGAGAATGTTAACACATCACAAAACATAGACATCCACAGAGAATGTCAACACATCACAATACATAGACATCCACAGAGAATGTTAACACATCACAAAACATAGGTATCCACATAGAATGTCAACACATCACAATACATAGGTATCCACAGAGAATGTTAACACATCACAAAATATAGACATCCACAGAGAATGTTAACACATCACAAAACATAGATATCCAAAGAGAATGTTAACACATCACAATACATAGACATCTACAGAGAATGTCAACACATCACAATACATAGACACCTACAGAGAATGTCAACACATCACAATACATAGGTATCCACAGAGAATGTTAACACATCACAAAACATCGACATCCACAGAGAATGTCAACACATCACAAAACATAGGTATGCACAGAGAATGTTAACACATCACAAAATATAGACATCCACAGAGAATGTTAACACATCACAATACATAGACATCCACAGAGAATGTTAACACATCACAATACATAGACATCCACAGAGAATGTTAACACATCACAAAACATAGACATCCACAGAGAATGTCAACAAGTCACAATACATAGACATCCACAGAGAATATCAACACATCACAATACATAGGTATCCACAGAGAATGTTAACACATCACAAAACATAGACATCCACATAGAATGTTAACACATCACAATACATAGACATCTACAGAGAATGTCAACACATCACAATACATAGGTATCCACAGAGAATGTCAACACATCACAATACATAGGTATCCACAGAGAATGTTAACACATCACAAAACATCGACATCCACAGAGAATGTTAACACATCACAAAACATAGACATCCACAGAGAATGTCAACAAGTCACAATACATAGGTATCCACAGAGAATATCAACAAGTCACAATACATAGGTATCCACAGAGAATGTTAACACATCACAAAACATAGACATCCACATAGAATGTTAACACATCACAATACATAGACATCTACAGAGAATGTCAACACATCACAATACATAGACATCTACAGAGAATGTCAACACATCACAATACATAGGTATCCACAGAGAATGTTAACACATCACAAAACATAGACATCCACATAGAATGTTAACACATCACAAAACATAGACATCCGCAGAGAATGTCAACACATCAGAATACATAGGTATCCACAGAGAATGTTAACACATCACAAAACATCGACATCCACAGAGAATGTCAACACATCACAAAACATAGGTATGCACAGAGAATGTTAACACATCACAAAATATAGACATCCACAGAGAATGTTAACACATCACAATACATAGACATCCACAGAGAATGTTAACACATCACAAAACATAGACATCCACAGAGAATGTCAACAAATCATAATACATAGACATCCACAGAGAATATCAACAAGTCACAATACATAGGTATCCACAGAGAATGTTAACACATCACAAAACATAGACATCCACATAGAATGTTAACACATCACAATACATAGACATCTACAGAGAATGTCAACACATCACAATACATAGACATCTACAGAGAATGTCAACACATCACAATACATAGGTATCCACAGAGAATGTTAACACATCACAAAACATAGACATCCACATAGAATGTTAACACATCACAAAACATAGACATCCGCAGAGAATGTCAACACATCAGAATACATAGGTATCCACAGAGAATGTAAACACATCACAAAACATAGACATCCAAAGGGGCTGATTGTCGGGACCAAAAGGGGTCAAATTGACTTCAATTTCAAAAATCATCTTTTCAACACCCAACACCCAGATATGATAGAATCAAAACTCTTCATGAATGGAAGCATCTGAGGTATTTTAATTACCGAAATGAGTCTAACATTTCTTCCTTGGAAGGATAATTCTTTTTAGACTTTAGTGTAATTTTTACAGAAAAAATGTAGTTTTGAGCATGACGTTGGTTGTGATATTGAGAATCATAATATTTCTCGTTATTCTGAAATTGTCAGTCATGCATATTAACTAGACATTTTTCTATTTTTTTTAAACTGCACCTTGTATATACCATGGTAATATGAAGCTCCATATGAGCTACTAACTTCTCCATAACTTTGACCTTGTTACGGGTGAAGTTTGTCTTACCATGCTACCCGGTGTAGGCACGCTCTTACATTCAAATAAGGGTGTTGTATTACTTGTTGCCTATTTTTGTTTTCGTTGCATAATATTTAAGTACAGGAATGATGACGCACTGATGTTATCTCGTCGTCTTATGACATTCCATATGTACGACATTCCATATGTACGATTATAAAGGGTACAGCCAAAAAATATGATGGAGAATGAAATCCAACTGACTTTGAAATAACTTTGCATAGAGAATGAAATCCAAGTAACATCTCTATAACTTTGACCTTGTCACGGGTGAAGTTTGTCTTACCATGCTACCTGGTGTAGGCACGATCTTACATTCAAATTATGGTGTTGTATAACTGGTTGTCCTATATTCTTTTCGTTGCATGGTATTTAAGTACAGGAATGATAATGCACATTTTCACTAAAGTGATCTCGTCATCTCGTGACATTCCATATTCGTGTACGTACGATAACAAATGGTGCGGCTGACAAATGTTGTCTGCACACGATCCTCCAACAATTCGTGAGTTTATATGAAAGTTGAGTTTGTAAAGTAAACGAGTGAATGCTATAAACATCAGCAATATTTTAAATCCAAGTAAGTGCATGAATGAAATCCAACTTTGATAACATTGAATCCAAGTAACTTTGCAAGCATAAAATCCCTGTAACTTTGCATAGAGAATGAAACAAGTAACTTTGCATAGAGAATGAAATACAAGTACCCATTGTAGAAATGAAATCAAGTAACTTTGCAAGAATGAAATCCAAGTAACTTTGCATGGAGAATGAAATCCAAGTAACTTTGCATAGAGAATGAAATCCAAGTAACTTTGCATGGAGAATGGCTATTCTGAGAATGAAATCAAGTAACTTGACATGAAATTAACTTTGCATAGAGAATGAAATCCAAGTAATGCATAGAGAATGAAATCCAATAACTTTGTAATTAAATCCAAGTAACTTGCATGGAGAATGAAATCAAGTGATAAGAGAATGAAATCGAAGTGTTGCATAGAGAATGAAATCAAGTAACTTACCAGAAATAACTTAATTTTTGCATAGAGAATAAATCCAAGTAACTTTGCATAGAGAATGAAATCCATTTAACTTTGCATAGAGAATGAAATCCAATGGTCCTTTGATAGCTAATTAAATCCTTAGTAATAATCGAAGTACTTTGCATAGAATGAAATCCAAGTAACTGCATGGAGAATGAAAAATATATAGAATTAAATCAAGTAACTTGCTGAGAATGA